CTTTATGGGGGTAGCATCGGTTTACGGGCTGTAATGATTCAGAGGGAAGGGTCACACCTGTTTAGATGTACGTTACCACACCACACCCATGTACCCATGGTCCACTGGGCCCTTGCATGCTTTGGTCTTCACCTTTCCCCTCTCTTGCTTCTCTTGCTACTTTCTAAGGACAGCCTCTTCAGCCCTCCATCATGCCCCATTAAAAATAGCTGTAGCTCTCTAGATTTTTCTTTCATTGTGTTTATCATAGCTTATATGTATTTATGTAGCGGACTGATTTTTGCCTCCACCACTTGCCTCCAAGACAATAAAAATTCTGTTTTCATTTAGTTGTTGGCTGCCTTTACTTTACCATGGGATCTTGTGTGCCTAGCACAAGGCATGGAACATAGAAAGTAAATACTTGCTTTACAAATGATTTAAAGAATTGAATCTACCATTTTTCTAGAACACCAGAACATCCACAGTAAATCTAAGGATTTTTGCATTTATACTTGCTTAATGGTAGAATAAAGTTTTACAACACTCAGCAGAGTAATTCTCAAATATATTCTAGTGGCAGGGTGTTCAGAATTGGTGGTGCCTGAAAGAAACGGACTGATAATCTGAAGACTTCTTACCTCAAAAAACAATGCACCAGCTATCGAGAAGATCACATTTCTAAATTTTCAATGTTTGCTCATACTTTTTCATATATTTTTATTGTCTATCTAATGTAGTCACACCACAAGGTAAAGAAACATGGAGGAATAAACTCAGAATTTTACCAAATTGTAAAGAAAGCAGAAAAACACTTGTTCTGTCTTAGTGGAAATAGGGAGGGTTGTTTGAGGACTGTTTACTTAGCAGGCCCATGTATTTTAGATGCCCTTTGTATTAGCTGCAGAAGTAATATATTTGTAAGTCAAGTCAATCTCCAACAATGGAAGTTCAGATTACTAACCCTTTTTCATGAGGCACTAGAACTTTCCTTAACTACTGCATACCTTCTGGTATCCCAGTGGCGTCAGGCTATGAAGGGACTTCTCCTTGTTACGTGACAGCAAGACAACTAGCCGGTTCATCCTCAAACTTCTCTAATGACCATTCCTCCCATAAAACATGCCAACTCTGGGTTATGAATCTCAAAACTCTTTTTGGATAAATAGCTCAAATATTTTTGCTCTTAAATTATTTTTGAGAGGTGATTTAAAAGGCATCATAACATTTTGCTTGTTTCTTACTCCCAGACCAAGGCACTGACTGCAGGGCTGGTACATAATGTGAAAGCGCACACTCTCCACTCAGCTCTATCTGGTCATACCAGGGTTCTATATGGGCATCCTGGAGCTGGGCTCTAGCAGCCCAAGCATGAGTCAACTTTGTATCTCTAAATGTTTTGCTTGACTTGTTACAAAATACAAAAAAAGCTCAATGGTAACTAACATTCACTTTCCCTTACACACACACACACACACACACACCAGCCCACCCGTGTGTGTGTGTGTGTGTGTGTCTCTCTCACACACACACACACACACACACACACACACACAAGCCCACCCGTCATCCTTAGTTAATTTGGTGGGAAAGAGAGTTTGAGCCTTTCTACTAGAATCTGGCTCATTTCCCTAGCAAGGGGACACACTGCCATGGGAGGATAGAGAAAACACACAGGGCTCCGAGCCACCCCTTGCTTTGCCCCTTACGAAGTGGCTAGGACTTTAGTGTTTCCAATCAATCATTTATAAAGTGGAAATAGTAGCGCCTACCACCTAACTATCTTTCAGGATAGACTTGGAAGGTAAGTAACTCACTTTTTAAGAGCACAGCTTTGGGCCCAGGCTGAATTAGAGTTCAAACAAGGCTCTGCTGGTTAATAGCTGTGTGATCTTAGCATGGACGTACTTGCCATTGTACTGTAACATAATACTCAGTAATTAGCCTCTGCCATCTCGCCTTGAAAACCTAAAGCATTCCACCAATATTCATTTCTAGAATTCAAAGATGCACATAAAATAAGATGTCCGATATCAGAAAACACATCAAATGATTTCTTGGTATCCAGTTTCACATCCCTCCATATCAGCAAAGCCAGATGATCCTCCCCAGATAGGACGCTCCCACCTATGACATGCTTTTTGAAGGCAGGAGGCCTGATGTAATTCCCATCAGTCGGAGACTCAGCCAACTCTATCCACTAATAACCTTGCTAAAGGCCATCCATCAAAAGGGCGAGGAGGCAGGAGGCAGAAAAGAGTCCTAATTGCTCTCGTCAGAGACGTCATTAGTGATGGCCTTGGCTCCTGTGAGTTCTGCATGGCATTTATGGAAATGGCACAGACCCCAGGCCAATGCTGCCGGAGCAGAGATCCACTTGAATATTACATCGCAGCAACCATCTAAACGCTCCATGTAAAAGGTGATCTATCTTTAGAGAACATCTTTTTCTGATGCTTTAAAGTTCTGATATTTTATTTGCTCAAGCTACAAAATATTTATTTGGATTCCATGGCTAGTTTATGATGAGCTGACATATACTGCTAATGTTTAAAAGTTTTAAACATTACTTCTGTTAGATAGTAAAATCATATAGAATAACTATTCTATATTCATTGATTATGTGATCTGATTCCTATGATTTGTCAGATGCGAGCATCACTTTTTTAACCCTCCAGTTGAACATCCAGTGCCTTCTTTCTAAGTGAGAACACTACCAGTAGAATCTTGGGTTTCATTATTAACTGTTTCTGTGTAATCTCAGGGAAATCTCTAAAAGAGGACACCATATTATTTTCTCTCCAGGAATTTAGTACAATTGCTATACTCTTTTAAGAGTGTGACAGGGTTCAATTGCTCATGTTTATAAACACTAGCAGTTACAAAACGTGAGTAAAATGTATGATACAGCTTTTCCAAAATAGCACCTAGGATTTATTATACAAAGTGCTATGCCATGAGTGGACTGACATAAATAAAAACTGCATGGTGTGATTACGTCTCCTCCACAGCACACTCAGACCAACATCTGCAAATACCTACCACATCTCTTTTTAAAGGATTTCCTATACCTGCAAAATATTCATAAGACAGAAAGGTTTTTACAGGAAATAGTTCTGATAATTTGTCATCAGAAAGAGTTATGTTGAAGCACCAAGAATAAAGTAACATACCCTTCATGTATGACAAATCCTTCATTTGGAGGAATTCTACTCTTCTCAACCAATATTCTCTTTTTACTTACATGTGACTTTTAGGAGAATGAGCAATTAAAGTATTACAATGGTAATGATATTAGCAAGACAAACTTGTTAAGAGTTTTTACTTGGTTCATTAGAACTCTTCTCAGGCAAAAGGGAAAATACCCAAGATGACTAAAGTTGGTACAAAGGCTCATCATGCAGAGAGAAAGGGGCTGAAGCTTATCAGTTCCAAGTCAGAAGTGCTGAATTTGAATGTATTATCTCAGAAAGAGAACATGAGTGTGGTGTCCTCACCGGTGGGCTGGCCAGTCAGGACACTCTCTCCAGAGCTTCCCTCGATGCCAACAATCACATCCCTCTGAAATAGCTATCTCAATATTCTAGCTACTTGGCTGAAAATTTTTGCCTATATAAAAATATACTACAAAAAAAATTAAATGAAGGCTAGTTTTATTATGAGCTGACATATTCTTCCCCAATGCTAATGCTTAAAAAGCTAAATGTAATAGCATGCAGCAAAAATCCTTAGCTTTTTAAACATTTTGGAATTCTAATTGTAAAAGTGGCAGCCCAGATTACTGAGTTTCTTTCTGACAAGGTCTGCTTTCTTCCCAGACATTAATTATAAACACCATGGTCTATTCTGGTGCTTCTAGAGAGGCCATTATGATAGGCTTTTGGTGAGTTCCAGTAGAGTTAACATGTGTCAACTCCTGTCTTCAGCAAGGCTAACAGAAGGCACCACTGGGCTGGAGTGAGAAAGCAGTGTAAGCTTCCAAAACAGGTGTTACTGTTGACATAACCATCAAACAGCCTGCCTCTCCACAGCTCCTAGAGAACAAGTACTTTCTCATTTGACTTTTTAATACAAATTCCTATATTTCAGGAGTATGTTCTCGTCACAAGACACCAAAGCTCACCCTCCAACCTTCTACCTCCAGTCTTTTCTGCAGAAACTGAAACCCAGAGTAGTGGATTTTCTTATCCAAGACAAAAACCCTTCAGTGCACTTCCAGGAAATTACTCATTAACTGACACCAAGCATTCTCCAGCATGCTTCCATACACGTTCCTCCAATGAGGAAATGGGCTGCTGACACCAAACACACCAGCCTGCAGGCTCTGGCTGCGCGAGCCTGAGCAAGCTGTTGCTCAGATTTCAATCTTTTTCTGTACAACTCACTGTTCACTCACAGAATGTGCACACTTCAGTCAGTCAGAGGGGCAACTAACCATGGTGGTTGCCCAGATTGGGGCAGGGGGAGGGCAAAGAGGGGAGTAAGTGGAGCCACCCCGAAAAAGGGAGACATAACTACAATGTGGGAAATACAGCTCACATAATTACAGGGGGGCAAAAAAATGATTGTGATATGGCTCCCAAGGATGGTTCCCTGCTTCTAAACTGACGATTCTAAAGCCCAGTCTATGTCACTAAGTCTTCGGGTTGTTTTTAAATAAACAGCAGGCAGAACACCGAACAAGAAGCTCTACATGAGCTGAAACTACTGCTCACACACATTCTTTTAAAGGTGATAAGTATATTTCCCAACCACATTTGACAAGCAGCATCAGATCAAAATCTTCCAGATTCACTGAAATTGCACCTTCTTATTCAGTTGTCATTTCTGTTTAGCCACAAGGTAATTCTAGACAACCATATGCAAGGCTAATGGCCAATCCCCAAATTCCCCAGGCAGAGTGAGCAGGCAAGACCACTGCATGGAGGCACTATCACAACAGTGAGTGCCGGGGGTCAGGTGTGTCCCACTCTGTCGCCAGGCAAATGACACAAATGGCCCAGTCCCTGCACCCAACCCACCTTCATCACTTCCACCTGCAGGTCCTCGTTGAGGGAAGGCGTCACTTTCACAGCATTCAGTATCTGATTTAGCAGCTGCTTCTCATCAGAGTTCGTTTCCATGGATACGAACCTCTCTTCTGACAGCAGCTTCTGGAAAGAGGCACAGGCAATGATCTCAGATAAGCTTTCCCGCTGCCTTGTTCTGTGGGATCTCCGTGTGTGCTGAGCAGACTTCCTTACTCAGGAACCACAGAGCGAGAGGCTGGTAGGAAGAGCCATGCCATAAGCCATTCAGAAGAAAAACACATCAAACCTCCGGTAAAAGGTTTGTGGCAAGGACTTTGTCCCCCTATTAGTAATTCATCCTAATGTTAAAACCAGGTCTAACATGGTGGTCACACTGACTGTGTGGGTGTCGGGGACGGGGGACAAAGGTCTGAGGGAAGCGAGCCCCTCACCACACTCACACACTACCTGTGTGAGTAGCTGTATCACAGCAGAGACGGTCTAGTAGAAAAGATCACTTTTCAGATACTTGCCTTTTTATTTCCTAATGTAAGTTAACATTTACCTTGGGAATAACTCACGAACCTGTGAACCTCAATGTATTTTCATCAAAGTGAACCCCCCCAGAAACCTAAAATAAGATGACATCCCTTGGCATGAGCTCTCCCAAAGGTCACTACATCTCACAGGACAGCTTGTTTCTATTCAGAACAATTCTTATTTCTTAGACTGTAGCCAAACCCACTTGACTCTGATATCTATGCCTACCTCTTTCCCTGAAGCCACACAGAGGAAACTTCTAAAATATGTGGAGACAGCTCTGAAATCCATCTAAGTCTCCTCTTCTCTACACTAAAATGCCGTGGGCACCTTCAATGTTCTCAGCATGATATAGCTTCCTAGCTGGTCTCCTGTTTAACATGTGGCTTCCAAAGGGATGGAACACCTCAGGGGAGATCTGATTTAAAGAGAAAGGCCACCAGACGGCAGCCTAAGGTAAACTACAGATGCAGGTGATTGCATGTGTTGGTGTGGTTCATCCTTGGTAGAAACTGGTTCCATTCTGGTGAGTGATATTGATGATGGGGGTGCATTGCACATTGTCAGGGGGTTGGGAATATGTGGGAAATCTCTTACCTTTCTGTTTTATGGTAAATCTAAAACAGCTCTAGAAAAGTTAAATTTCAAAATTAAAAGCTGGCAGAGGGGAAAGAGAGAAAGACACAATGGGGTTTTGGTGGTACCAAATCTACCCACCTGCAGAATTGTAGTTAGATCAGCTTAATGGGTTTATTGCTTAAAACCAAACATCAATAAGCCATAATGCATAACTTTAATTGCATTCTCAGATCAAATTGGTTTAGTTGTCAGTCATAGCATATCCTGTGCTGACTCACCCTGAAGCCCCTAATTCTCATTCACAAAGGCTGCAATTAAACTGTCTCCCCAGACAGTCCTGGGGCAGTTGATGTTTGAGAATCTAGTTAAGACTTTATATTTATCCATGTTAATTTATCCTTGTCCAATTCCACATAGATTATATCCTGTGAAGAACTTTTGGGATTCTGATTCATCTGGTATAATACCTTTCTCTCTTCGCTGATGCTACTGGAGACCCAGGAACAAGCATTTCAACCTTATTTTTAGGGATCCCTGATATTTTTTGCCCATATTCCTTCCAGAAAAATTTCACTGTCATGTAGTGTAAGCCAAGGCAGCCCCAAGTTAAAGTTTATATACAAATCTGGCTTTAGTCAAAGAGATCAAGACTCAGAAGCCCCAAATATTACCTACACTTGACAGAAGTAACAGGATCATGAAAGAAGACATGTAACCCACCCGGTCACTGCAGTTATCAGGCTTAGAAAACTCTCAAAAGCCAGGCTTTATAAGTCAGAATGAGTTTTTTTTTTTTTTTTAGAATGAGTAACTAAATGGAACATGTATATATTACTGGGGGTGGGGGGCGTGAGGGGGGGAAGGAAAACACATGGCAAGAACGAACTCCCAGACATTTTTTATGGTTGGTCCAAATACCTGGTGAAAAGCAAAGAGCTTTTAGTAACATTATGATGTGTAAAATTTTCTAATGCTACTGCACATTCAAACATAGATTATGTAATTTCAAGCCACTGAGGAAAGAATGAGTAGCAATTTTCTCCCTCTTCCATGTGTATTACTCTTAAACAGAATTAGGAACCTCTTTGAACTTAAGGAGCTAAGAATGTAATTGTGCAAGTTGATATGAACAGCCACTGACAAATGCCACCAATCTAAGGCTGTGCTGAAAAAACCCTACAGGCCTGAGTTCACAGTGCTTATCAGCTACACACCAAAGCACTTGTGAAGTCAAAGGGGGGCCCTCCCCGGTGGCGCAGCGGTTTAAAGCACAGCACTAAGAAGCTAAAGCCACTTCAGCATGAGTTCGGTCCCCACCCCAGAGGTGACCCAGATGGTGCGGCAGACCTCTCCTGGCCCTCCTGCTGCTCCCCTCAGCAGTGTACTTCCTTGATCTGCCTGTTCTGCTCCCCACTCTGTCTCTGGTGAATCCTCTCACTGCCTCTGCACCTCTGGCCTGTATCTCAGTTCTGTATGTATAAATAAATAAATGTTAAAAAAAATGTATAAGAAGTCAAAGGGCTTCTATAGCCATTACCTTTGCACTGTTGCAATTAGACCTATTACGTCTGGTGTAAAACACAAATGAAAAAATGAAGGAAAAGTGTTCAAGCGATCTGACTGTCCTTATTAAACCAAACTCTTACTTCTTCCCTGTCTTTCTTTGGGAGCAAAGCACATTAATCCGTTTGCCAACCTAACTCTAGAATAAAGAGCAAAATAAGGTCTTCCAGTTTATTATCAATTCTCATTAGCAAGAACACAGATATTGAAGATATGAAAGAATTCACTTGTTGTAGAACTTGTGGTGTCTCCTTTGGAATCCCCTACTCTCCTAAAGAACTATTTCATCTTGGGTGGGCTAGGTGGGTCCCCATGAATCAGTGTCAGCTGACAAGGGCCCAGGAAGTTCTGCTGTGCCCAGAGAAATCTACTAGATGTAAGAAAATCCTGTTTCCTTTATCATTGTTACCTACTTCGGTTTCATTTCTGTATTAAAACGTTAAGTATTTGCTCTTTCAACATGAAAGTGGTCTGTCAATTTCTGCCTCCGCACCACACTCAGTGAGAGCCATACCTGCATCCCTGCCAACGCGTGTTGGGCCAGTTTCACATTTTTGGACTCCAAAGCCAACTGGAGAGGCAGCAGGCATTTCTCCCTGGCAAACACATAAAGAAAGACAACATGTGAGCTCAGCGAAGCTGGCAGTCAAGTGATAAAAGCCTTATGCACAAGTACCCTCAAATGCTGCTGCTCACACAGACAAACTATAACCAGTAATGAAGATGTACATGGACTTAAAAGACACACAGCAAGAAAGCTGCATAGAAATAATAGCGTCCACAAGCTAGTAAGGCCATGAGACTCTCAAAAACAAGGACTCTCAAACTGTTGTTTCTATGCATTGATGATTCCACAGTAGGACATTACCAGCAATGACAAGCCCTGCATGAATCCAGAGGAGCACAACTGCATGGATCCCATGCACCTGGGTGAACAATGTCAGGGAGCATCATTTGTGAGGGTTCTGTGCCTTGTTCTCCTCTCCACCCCAGAAATGACCACATCACCACCATGACTCTGCCTTAACAAAGTCAAAATTTGACTGTCAATTTCTCCCCCAATTCAAAGTGGTCAATAATTAGTTACAATCTTAAAATGACTCCAGTCTCCACTGGGTATCTGAATTTTGTGACAATCTGAACAAATACAAATGAACCTTCTAATACAACCTTTAAATTGTTACTTACCCGGGTTTTACATTTACCAAAGAGTAGTACCTGGTTTCATGGGAGAAATAAGCAAACAAACAAACAAAAAAAGAAGAAAGCCAATATGGAGCACTATACTTGGAGTATATTAAATATTAAAAACAAATCAAAGAGAACTGGGCATTAAAATATGTGATGAATAAACCAAAAGGACCACAAAACCCCCTATCTTTCTGTTAGAAGCATTTACTCTAAATAATTAAACAACAGACCAAGAATTTTAATCAACTCATTATTTCCCTATAGATTTACACTGGCACAAACAAATGAAATGTGACTTCATTTTATCCTCCACTCTCACATAAACAGAGGAATCCCATTTTTATCTGTTTTATACTTTCAGCACATGCTGAGAGATTCACTGATTTTGGAGGCTGTGAAAGTCACAGGGTAAGACTACAGGATTTCATCTTTGGAGAACAAGGCTCACTGCTGCAGAGTACAGCGGAACAGAAATGTAACTGTCTCTCTGATGCAGTTTGCAGATCTGCAGCTTTTCCGTGGATGACTCTGTCCGCAGCCAGGACAGAGACGTCACGGCCCTAGACGTCACGGCCCTAGACAGTGCCAACAACAAAGACAGAGTACAAACAAGTAGGAAGGACACTCGCCTTCCCAGCCCTCCTCACTGCCCCCCTCATCCGCCCAGTGTTCCAATGCCCACTTTTATGGGATGGTGGATTAACACTATAGACATTTTTCATGAGCTACAGCCCCTGACAGATGAATAAATTATCCACATGTGTTACTTTCATCTGGGTGGCTATCATTTGGCTCCTGCGCTGTTACTGTCAGCTTGAGAGAGTTACAAGGCAGACGTGGACAGGTGACAGAAGCAGGAATAACAGGCTTTTCCAATTGTGGTTTTTTGTTTGTTTGTTTGTTTAATCACCGGTTTATAAGCTTGGCCCGGTTAATAGGAAGGGCGATAGTAGAGGTGAAGTAGCAGTACTGGGGAGACAGAATATTAACAGAAGAGCCTTAGAGTTTCAGTGGTAACCCCTTAAAATAATGAAATTTCCATCGGGATGAATTCACTGTGAAACAACTTTCCCCTTGAAATTGGAGTCAGCACCAGTGAGCAGCGATGAGGTCCAAGGCTCTTCTGTCTCAGCGCCTGTGTGGGGAAAGTCTATTGGGTGCCCGTGTGCTGAAAAGGGACACGCATCACACGTGACTCACCAAGAGCAGGGAGCAATGGTGGAGGCCACGTTCAATAGCGAGGACCTTTCTGGACCCTTGGGGAGTAGCACATCTGCCGATCAACAACTGCATGCCTGTCACTCTGCATCTTCAGTATCTGTCCCTGAAGTCCTCTTACCCTTTCACCCATTTCTACACCCACACAACTAGGACTGCAGACCTGAGCAGGGTGCACACAAATGCCAGGAGCTCTGGTTAGCAGCATAACCCCAGGGAACATGGCTGGCTGTCCTTTCATGCTAGACATGGTCACCGGGAAGGACTGAAAGATGTAACTGGTTCAGGGAGTTTTTGGCCACCTTGGAAGGTGTCAGTGTTTAGTGGAAGAACACTAGCTGTGGCATCTCACAGATCTGGATTCATTTCCTAACCATTTCAAACTGTGCAACCACAATGTAGATATTTAACGGTTGGGTTTCAGCTCCCCAGTGCATCTGAAGACTAATCCTTACTGCTATATAATACTGTTTATATGTGTCAAGGATTGGAAAGTTTTTTCCATAAAGAGTAGATAATACACATTTTAGGCTTTTGGTGTCTGTCCTAACTACTCAAATCTGCCATAGCACAGAATAGTCGTGGACAATATGTGAATCAATGTGCCCAAACAATTTTGCAGTTACAAAAACAGGCAGTGCGTCAGATCTGACATACAGGTTATAATTTGCTCAGTTCTAACAGACAAATATAGACCTAGCAGAGAGCACACTATTTAACACAAGATAAGCAGATGTACCTATCACAGTATCCACAAAGCCTGCTACGTAAGACATGGGGCTTCCTATTAGTGGAGGATCTTAGCAAAACCGATGATACCACTGAAATTCTTAGAAAATGAGTGCATTGAAGTAGGCTGAGAGACTTATCCGAGCATTAGACGAAAGTACTGCATCCATCCAGTCTATGTGCAAGACATCATGACTGTTGACTGAGACACTAGCAAGGAATAAGACACAAGAGATACTTGCTTTTATTTCTACTGTCAAATATTATACCTGTTACTATAACCCTTAACTTTTACTCCCTTTAGTTATATACCTAGAAAATGGGGGTTCAGATTCAATTCAAGCCCAAATCCGTCTGATTCTTAAGACCAGATCTCGAAGGAACAGCTCTCTCTAACCTTTTTTTTTGGATTATGAACACAAAAAATCTGGCTGAAGACCCTCTTCCTGGAGGAGTACACCTTCATGCCAAGGGATTCACTCCCCACCTCCCTCCAGCTCCAAATATATATGAAAGGATCCTTCCCAGCAGCAGAAGCCAGAGACTCAGAGAAGAGGGCCTCTGCCTGGACTAAGGGTTCCCCTAGGGTGGGCTTTACTAAGCCCGAGAGTGGACAGTTATCTTGCATGCGTGCATGTTTGTGTGTGTGTGTGGGGTGGGGGTTGGGAGGGTGGGGGTGGTGGGCTTACAAGCTGGCTAATTTTCAGATCCAAGGCCTTTCAACCCCTCAAACCCTATGATCCCCTTGATGGGCATTAAAAGCCTCTGACTTCGACAGAGAAAGAATGCATGCAGAAATGAAATGGGGGCAAGCTGATTTCATTTCTTGCTCGCTGATATCATAAAAATCCTGCTGTTTTAGTTTTTAGAAAGTGATTTTAATAAAAGAATAAAAGGCCTGCTAATTGGAGCTCAGGATTACATTTATAATGAAATGCAACGTGACACACACTTAGTTCCCTTTGTACATATTGGATGAGAATAAATCGTCTTTTGATCTTTCTAGAAGCTGCTTCATTGGGGAAAGGGCACACCAAAACCAATATTCAATAGCATGAAGTGATCATTTTTTATGCATAGGCATGTGCAAATTCACTCTTGCCTAATTAAATAAAGGCAGCAGCCCCAGGTTTCATGTTCTGACACGCCATTATTTCTAAAGACAAGTAATTATCTGCACGGCATATGCATGGGGAAGACTTGGTCCCCTGACACTGAGTCTGGTGGTATCAAGGAGACTGAACCTATTTCCTTAATTGCACTGTCGCAGTTCACAGACCGGCTTAATTGAACTGGAAGACTACAATAGACAAAAGGAAATTAAAATAGGTAAATTTTAGGATTTACCAAAATTTAATTTTCAATATGCTGAGCACAAACAGGAGCTTCAATTAAAAACAACAATATTCCTGAATGTTCGGCTGATTTCTCTTTGATGCCCCATGTGAGAGGAAGCAGAAAGATAGCTTTTATTTCTAAAGTCTGGTTATATTATCTGAAGCTAGGAGTCTATGATCTGAGCCATTTATCCAGCAACTGTGGATTTCTGCATCTTCCTTAGTATACTCTTGTTGGAAACCAGTGGCTTGTATGTGCAAAGTACCAATTCATTCATATTTACTATTTAATGCTAACTTTTGAAAGCAGAGATTTATTGTCAGCATAACAAAGAAAGATGAGATTACCTATCTGAGGTCACAGCTGTGATTTAGGTCATACCACCTGTCTTCAAAACTCATGTTCCCAGGCCTCTAGTACAATATCGACACAAGCAGACAACTCCTGCCAACCATATGACAGACTGGTTTCAAATAGCAATTCAAATGTGCATCAGGTTAAAACAGGGGGGCCAGCATCAAACAATTAATATCAATAAGCTTATGTAGAGGGTCATTATGAAGCAATGTGTTATATTTGACAGCTGGTGTGAGGTAATGCAGGAAAAAAACTGGTTTTGGAATCAGTTGCTGGCTTCAACTACAACCAACATCATTTTGAATACCTTCGTAGTGATGGTCTTTCTTAATGTGAGTACAGTAGTCTGTTCACCCCCCCCCTCGAGACACTGGGGGTGTTATCACGCTCGTTTATGAACACCGATGTTTCAACAGCTTCTATCAAGACTGACAAGTCCGTTTTTACTGACTAGGCTTTTGCCAGAGCCAATTCCATTGAGTCAAAGGGAAGGGAATTGGCTCCTTAGCTAATTTTCTCTTCAATGCAGATAAAATGTTTCTTCTATTTCTATTTTAATAAAATATCTTTATTCAGTATGCGTCGGTTTCATTATACTTCACAACAAAAATTAGACTCATCTTTCAGGCCCTAGGGATATGGCTGTGAACAGCCTAAACTCCTTTCTCTTTTGCAGGATTTCTTAGCAGGCCTATTGGCAATTATGAAATTGCCATTTCTGTCATCAGAAAAGGTTGAATACCGGCAATTTATATGATTCAAT